CCGCCGCCGGCTGCTCTGGGGCCTCACGTCCCGCGCGGCCGTGGTCGTGGTCGCTGTCGCCGCCGCCGCCGCCTTTCCCGGCTCCGCAGACAACACCCAGTCCCCGGCCGGGTCTTTTCTTCTCTTTGAGTCCGCCTTTCTTCGCTCCTCCTAAACCCGCCGAGGGCTGAGCATGCTCCCGGAGCGGGAGAGGGGTGGGGGGTGGGAGACCCGCGGAGAACCGAGGGGGCGACCGCGGCGCTCTCCGAGCCCGGAGCTGCTCACTGACTGGAGGAAGGTGCCAAAACTGACCCGGGCTCCAGCCTGCCAGCGGGAGGGGGCGGGACCAGCCCAGCTTCGCCCAACTTCCGCCAATCCCAAGCCGCTCAGCAGTGTCAGTCACGCCAGGGGCTCCGGGAGAGGGTGAACGGAAACGGCAGAAGGCGGGGATTGCGGAAAAGAAGAGCCAATGGGAATAGAGGTCTCCTCCCCCGCCCCCTTCGCCGTGATTGACTGCCCGGTTCCGACCAATGGGAGGCGGGATTCTCATTTCGAAGGAAGAGGGCAATGTGTTCACCTGGTTTGACAAAAGGGGCTTGAGCGGAGGGTGGGAGGTGAGCGGCGGTGCGCGTGGAGTCACGCTGCCGGGGCGCCGGGGTCCCCTGGCCTCCGGGAGAAGTCTCAAGGGCTGGCTGGGGTAGGGGGTCGGGGGGCGGGAGCCGACAGGCTGGTTGAGTTTCCTTCCGGGTCACCCGCGGCGTCAGGAACAGGTCTGGGGAAAGGTGCTCGCTGGGCTGGGAAACCGCCGCCGCGGCGATGAGCTCCCAGAAAGGCAACGTGGCTCGTTCCCGGCCCCAGAAGCACCAGAATACCTTCGGCTTCAAGAACGACAGGTTTGATAAGAGCGTTCTGACCAAGGTAGGGACCGGCCCGAGGCGTGCGCGGCCTGGGTTCGCGGCCGCCCCCCGCACGGGCCTTTCCCGCGCCGGCCCTGGGCCTGGGTCCCCCGTCCCCGCCCGCGCTGGGCCTGTGCACGGGGCCTGGCGCCGTCTCGCGTGCACCTGCCGGGAGGGAGTCCTGGCGCTCCGCCGGCCGGGTCACGGAGGCGCGATCCCGCTCGCGGGTCCCTCTCCGGCGGGGCGTCCGGCCTGGCCTCCGGACCCCCGGGTGCGGAGGGCGCGGGGGCCGCCTTGGGTGTGTCGGGGGAAGGCAGCTGATTTTCGCCTCACCTGCAAAAATGAGTCCCTTTCGCTTTGGGGTTTTTGTAAGACTTGTGTGGAAGTGGTTGGTTTGCTGTTCCTGAAGTCACTTATTTTAGGAGGGGGAGCTTGTATGTAACCATTGATTTGCTGTGATAATTCAGGACAAAAGACATACTAGGCCAGCACTGCGTTAGGTGAATCTGGTATTCACATAAAGTGAAGTTAAAATAGATTTGTGGCTCGAATTGTGTGTGTGTGTGTGTGTGTGTGTGTGTATTTTGGTGGTATTGGGCTTTGAACTCGGGCTGTACTGGTACCACTTGAGCCACGCCCCCCAGCCCTCTTGGTTTTAGTTAGGTTTGGGATGTGGTCTTATGTTTGTTTTTTTTTTTTTCTGCATTACTTGGATCCTCCTCTTACCTGCAAACCCCTTCCCCCTGTAGCTGGGATTATAGGTATTAACCATCACATCTGACTTGGTGGCTGAAAGAGGGTCTAATTAACTGGACTCTGGCTGACCTCAAACCATGATTTTCTTGATCTTTATCCCTCAAACAGAGTAGCTAGGATTATTAGCATGCCTTATTTAGTTTCCAAGAGGTTTAGTCAAATGAGAAATATGATAGGATTATTGTGATGCTAAGTAAATGATATATAAGTATGGCTTGGGACAATAGATTTTTTCAGCAAGTAGTTTCTCAACATTAAGTAGGATAGCAAAGAAATCTTTGTATTGTCAGTTATTATCTTGTTAGTACTTCTCTTACTTCACAAGTATTTAATGAGCATTTTCCATATTCAAGACCCTACATTTGTGGCTGTCCACATGGATTCTGTCATGAAGTAGTGATATGGACAGTTATTAACCAGATAGTTATTTAATTACAAGTGTAATAAATGTTAGAGGGAAGATAAACAGTTCAGTAAAGAGGAGGAAAGAGGAATGTTTCTTCTTTGTGTATGTGTGTTTTTTTTTTCAAGTGAGATCCTGAGAAGACTTTTCCTTTCTCCTACTTAAATGGAGAGAATTTTCAGAAACTAAACTTTGAGCAATATTCTGGAAGGCTTTACCAAGCTTGTGACTATTATCCGTGGGTAATACCATAATAAAAAGTCACCCTATTCTAAATACATGTCTACATCTTTCATGAAGATATTCCATAAGTTTGATTCTAATTACTTATCAGATGATTGGAAAGCAGCTTTAGTAAGCATTGAACTAAATATATTTTATACCTAATTTTTGTGTATGTGTAATTTTTCATTTTTCATATTATTGGTTTTTTTTAACCATGTTAGTGTTGTCTTAAGTGTGTTCATGAGTCCCAGATTTCAGACAGCAAGCTTCATGTTATTCATCTGTCTTTCTTTTCCCTCTTGTATTTTGTGAAGATGTCTCATTTTTTAATTGGTGAGACCATTAAGCCCATTGTTTCTGGAAGTTTCAACAAAAACATTTTGTTGAGGAACAACTGTTTAATGGAGAATAATCAGCAGATTTTGGATCTAGCAGTACTGAACTGTCTAAACCTAAGTCTTTGTCAGAAGCACCTGGCCCAGGCAGTAAGAAATGTATTCTCTGTAACTCCCCCTAAAGGACTCTAGTAACAGTTGACTAATTGTACCTCATTATTTGCTAAAGGTTCCACATGATCATTCTTTTTCCTCCTTCGCCAAGTAATTTGTTATGACTTCGTTGAAATTAAAAGTTGAGCAATGACAGATGTTTTATTGGGACGTTTATCTAGATAAAGCATCGGAATTATATTCTAGGAAACGGAGAGAAGCTTCTTTTGTGGCATTCCACATGACTAAACTTAGATCCAAGGGTCAAAGTAAGAAAGGTAGGCTTTAGCTTACTATAAATGAAGTCTCTTGGAAGTTAAGCAGCATGCTAGGGGGTTGTAGCCTCCTTCCCTGCCCTCACCCTATGGACGCTGATCAACAGTACCCTCAGACCACCTACAGAGTTGGGAAAGGGGGATGGAATAGGTTTAAGTCTCTTCTAGTTTTTTTTTAATATTAAAATACTGATTCTGATCAAGTTGCCTTGTTTCCCATTACATATCCCTTAAAAAACAATGAAGAGACATTGAAGCCCCAATTCTGTCATTTATTGTGCTTCATGATATAAAGCAACTTTCCTGAACCTTTCATTTTTACAATTCTGGGTTAATACCACGTCCTAATGTCCTCTGAGGGTTGTTGTAGTGTTCATTACAAAAGTATTTTTAAGAAATAAAGACATGGGAGCAGGCAAGTTGTCCTGCAAATCCAGCTACCTAAGGCTAGGGTGGGCGTAAGGTTAACGAGCCTCCCATCTCAACCACCAAGTCAGGCTAGGTGGGCTTCGTCCTTAATCCCAGCTATACCGGAAACTTGGGTAAGAAGATCATGTACTGAGACTGGCCCTTGACAAAAACAGCATCCTATCTGGAAAAATAAAGAAAGAAAGAAAGAAAAAGAGCTGGATAGGTCAAGTGAGTGCCCACCTAGCACATGCAAGGCCTTGAAACTCAGCACTACAAAAATAAAAGGATGCAAATAAAAAGCAATCATAAAGCATAAGATAATTTATGTGGACCTGTAGTTGTTCACATTAAACTAAAACACTAATAAAGAAACATTTGGTAAATACTGAAACAGTAGGGAAATGTATAGAGTCTAAAGGCCTCTGTTCTTAGTTCTATTTCTGTTCAAGTGTGATCACTGTTAACAGTTTAATGTTTATGTGTGCTTCTAGACATCTATGTACAATACAGTGTGTGTATAATAAAGTACAGAATTTCTTCTCACTTAGTAAAGTGAGTGTGCCAAATACAGATTAAGTTTAGCATTCTTAATGCTGTCATTATGTGATATAAATGTAGCAAACTCATCTAACCACTGTATTACTCATAAACATCTAAGTCCTTTGGAGTTTTTGGTTATGTCAAAGAAGCTGAAGCAATTGTGGCTGCACATGCCTGTAATTCCAGCACTTAGGAAACTGAGGCAGGAAGCTCTCTGGAGTTTGAAGCCAGCCTGCACTACATTGTGAGAACCTATCTCAAAAAAAAAAAAAAAAGCTGCAATGAAATTCTTGTGTTAATGCATTTTTTCCACATCTAGGTCTGGTACCAAAAACTGTATTAGATACTGGTAAACCTATAGTTCCTGTTGGCCTTCACTGAAGCATATACTTTACTGGGAAAAATGACTAACAGATAATCTTACACGTATGTTAATGCCAGTGCAGTAAAAGATATGAAAGAAAAGTCTGGGAGGCCTGATAATTTCTAAGGAGAAGTCTGGATTAAGTTTGGTGGGTTAAGGAAGGCACTGAAGAGATCTGATGGATGGGTAACATTAAGTGAAATGGGAAGAGATGTATAATCGTGAAGGGACTGAAATTTGTTTTACATGTGCAGTCAGCATATAATTTTATTACTTAGAGTCTCAGGTTCACATGATCTTCCTTGATTAGTTTAGTAGTCAATTTTATAGACAAGTTCCTTTGGAGGTACTGTGTAGTAGGCCTGACTTTGGGGGAAGAAAAGAGTATACATTAGCATAAAGCAATAAGATGTTAGCCAAAACTCACTTAACAATGGAACTCTGGTTTGGAGAATGCTGATTGCACTAATTTCCTAGAATGTCCTTATTTTGGTAAGTTGCTCTGCACCTTGAAATGGAGATGGCAAATGAAAGTCTGCGGCTACACTGTCTGAATACTTTTGGAAATGCACCCATATTAATAATAGCTAATTCCCATGCACTTAGGTGAGCTATGCACTAGGCCTACATGACACACAAGATCTAATCTGCAAAATAACCTTATGATAGATGCTGTAATTATCTCCTTGTGCATACTGGGAAATTAAGGCTTAGGGGAGTAAATGATGTGCCCAACGTGGCATAATTAGTATGTTGGATTAGGTGAGATGTATGAGGAGACCTCATAGGACAAGTAAATGAAAACCATGCTTGCTTATGTGGATTTTTTAATACAGTAATTTTACATAGAGGTAATAGGATACCAGATTTGGGTCCAAAGAAAAATGAGCTTTATTGCCTCTGCTATGATGTGGCTGTGGTCTCTTCCCCAGAAGTTCACGTGTTAGAAGTTTGTTCCTCAACGTGGTGATTTTTGAGAGATGGTAGAACTTTCAGAGACTGAACTTAATGAAAGTGATTAGTTTATTAAGGAGGTGCTGCTCTCAGGAGGGATTAACATTGATTTAGAGACTGAGTTCTCACAAGACTGGACTGTAACAAGTGTACTCAACCCGTCTGCACATGACTTACTGTTCCCTTTCCACTCTTCTGACCTATTGTGATTCAGAAAAATGAGCCCTTACTGAAGGCCAAACACATAAAGTCAACAGATCCTGGGCTTTTTGCCTCTAAGAGTATGAGCTGAGTAAACCTCTCCTTTATAAAGTTCCCAGCTTCAAGGATTTTACTAAACAGTCTCACTGTGTGTTTGAAATGCTCTAGAGAAGAGTCTTAGATCATGAATGTTGCCCCCCTGGGGTCATTGATATGGGCAGTTTGGGGTGGTTTCCAGCTACTCCACAACTGAGGTACCTTTCACTCTTTTAAAGTATAAGCAGATGCTACTTTAGTCTGGTCCTTCACTTTCTGTATTTTTATAGACAAAAAGATATGATAAGGTGATCTGATTAGGTTTATAAAACAGGATAGGATTCTGAACTTGTAAGATCCTTTATTCAC